GTATTGCTTTAATAAATTATTATATATTATAATTACTGGAACCTATACAGAGTACTGGTTATATATTTTTTCAATTCAATATATTAATATATTATTTTTATATAGTTAGATATAAGGATCCTAACAATTCTCTTTTATTTTGTATTCAATTCTCAAGTTTATATTAAATTTAATAGATGGATATATCCCACCATCATTTTTAATAGTGTTCCAAACCTCATACGATTCTTTGCAATTCTATTTGATTCCAATTTTCAGAACTATAGTTAGATAATATAGAATATAATTAGTATTTTATATATTATAAATAAGAATCTTAATGATTTGATTTGATTTTCAATTCTTAGGTTTATATTAAATGAAATATATAAATTACAACCTATTATTATTTTTAATAATATTCTAAAGTTTATATAAGTTTATGTGAGTCTATTCAATATTAATTTTTGGAACTATAATTATAAATTATTTGATAGAAATAAATTATTTAAAATTTTTAATATAAAATTTATAAGTAAAAACTGATAGTTAGTTAAAAGATCATGAAAATTTTTTATTGATTATTATTAGCAAAAAACAAAAATATTCTAAAAAAATAAAATATTGTTTTTTAAAAAAGATATTTAAAATATATTTAATTACAAAAAATAGTATATGTTTAATAAGTTGTATATAAAAATAATCTTTATATAAAAATTATCTTTTTGTTTATTTTTTTGTTTCAAATTATTGTCTAGTATTATTATTAGTTACTAAATCTCTTAATATGAATCATTACTAAAATTATAAAAGTTATTTTATTTTTAAATTTTTATTTTTTTAAATTAGTTCTCTAGTCTATATTTATTTTTAAGAATATATTTTGTTAAACAAAATTTTTTAAAAGAAAGAAATTTCTTAAAAAAACAATTTTTTATAAATAAAAATATTATAGAAAAGAGTTTTTTAAAATAATATATATATATATTTTTTATTAATATTAAATTTTAGAATTTCCTTTTCTAATTATTTAATTATATATTTTTTATCTTTATTACTAATATATTTGTTATAATACTTTATATATATATTTATATTTAAATATATCAAAATATATTTGAAATATATTTTTTTATTAATAGATATTAAACTATATAGCAAGATAAAAATTGTTATCAAGAAAACCTTAATTCAAAAAAATAACGATCAATATAACAAATGCTCTTAATCTAAAATTCACCAATAATTATTGAAGGTTAATAGTACTATCAAACTTACATGGCACTAACTTGCCTCACATATAAATATAATTTGTTTTAGCCCAGAATCAAATTGGGTTAAAACTTTTGTAAACAATAAGAACCTTACAGGATTACATGGTTTAATTCCAAATCCAAAGATAACATTTTGGTTTGTGTATAATCCAAATATAATAATCAAGATTCACAAAAGATAATTACTTATTCAAGAAGAAACAATACTCAAAGAAAAATATTTTACAATCAATGTGAACAACAATTTATTCAAATGCTTAGAATACCCAACTGGTACACTATTCTATGGCTTTTGTTAAACAACATTCACAAGTTTGACAGCATCAATATTGTAAGTATCATTCAATTTTTTCAGTATTACCAAATATTGACTATTAAATATAATTAATGAAATCATCAATACACCACATAAAAGCGAGCACATTCTTCAAACAGTCAATATTAATAACAACTTCTCTCCTTAACTAACACTTTAAGAGATTAGTACCTATTAATATTATTATATTTAATCATATAAAAACTATTTAGTTATTAATAAATACAAAATAGAACTTATTAATATCTGTCTGGCTCCTGATAATTTTCTATTTGCAATACTTGATATTATTCAGTAGAGCTCTATATGCAATACTATTGAAATCAAAAACAACAAAAAAATTCTTTAATTAATATCAACTCACTCTAGAAAAATGGTGAAGATTAACTTTTTTCCTTTAATTCAAAAGATAAATTAAATTGTAAAACAAAAGTTGATTGAAGTCATATATACCAAACCAAAATTCAGATCACATACAATCAAAACAATTTATTGAAACAACTTTTTATCACACTTCTCAGAAAATCCTTTAATCAACAATTTATGTCTGGGCAGTAGTGTCAGATGGTACAAAAAAATCATCAGTATTACTAAAAACTACATTATTTGTGAAAGCTCTTCAGTTCTTCAAACTTTTGAATGATGTTATACTTCACAAGAATTAAAATTCATTAATCAATCTAACAAAAACATCAAAAAAATATATGATAACAGTTACAGTAATCTAATAGTATTTAGAATTAAATCTATTCTCAGGAACTCTTTCAACTCGTCAAATACTTTATTAATACTATCCTAATAAATATTTAGATACTTATTACCCAAGATATGAACTCTGCACAAAGAATATTCAACATATTTTCAAGTGTCCTAAAGACTTAAAAGAGATTAACTTGATTATAAAAAACATTAATCAAATTTTCCATCCAGACAACAACCTTAAACCAATTTTCCATATTTGACAAGTAGTAGAATTGTTATGCAGAATAATTGATAAAATCTTCTCTACAATAGATACCTTCAATTGAATCAAGGTATCAATAGAATCCTTAGCTCAGCTATATAACCCAATTTGGAAACCATATTGTAACACCACCAACATATTACTTCTTACTGGTATTAAGTGTAATTCAAGCAAATTACTAAACACCATCAACCTAGCCAGACCAAAGAGAAATCATATTGACTATACAGAAAACTTACATTCTAATATTACTTAAAATAAAATTATTATTGATCTTCCTATGATAGTTACTAACACTTTTATTCAATATAGTTATAATTCTTTCAAATGTGTTCAAAATTTAATTTTATCTTTATCAAATACTATTTTCTCTAATATTGAGTAGATATTTATAACTATTCAATACTATATGGCAAGATATATTGTTTTAAACTTTTTTTTTAATATTAGTTATATGGTTACTATAGGCAAGTTAGTATTTAACTCATTGTATTAACATATAAGAGATGTTGTTTCTTTCATTATATATACCTTATTATATACAAATCAAATAAAGAAACAATATTTATCTTCAAAAAAAAAATTTTTTTTTTACTATAATATAATCAATAATCCTTTATTTATTAAAATTAAATAAAATAAAAATTTTACTAATAAATTTTTTGATTTTTAAATCAATAATAAAAATATAATTCAAATATCTTTTATTATTAAAAAAATTTTTTTTAAAAAATATAAAATCAAAAAAAAAAAACTACTTACAAAATTTTTTTATAATTTAAATTATAATTTAAATTTTGTTTCTATTAAAATAATGAATCAATTTGTAAAATCATATGTATTAAACAGTTTAAAAACTTATTTTTATTTTTAGCTACTTTAAATTTAAAAACCAAAATCAATTTATTTTAAAATAAAATTTTTATTAATTTATATTTTATAATTATAAAAATTTTTATTCAATATAACTATAATATTTTCAAATATATTTTATAATTAATTTTATTTTATTTTAATTTTTTATTATTCAATCTTGAATAGATATCTACAGTTGCTTGATATCATTTGACAAAATATATTGTTTTAAAATTTCTTTTTAATATTAGTTAACCAGTTTTTATAGACAAGTTAGTATTTAACTTATTGTATATACAGTATATATAAAAGATATTGCTTCTTTTATAATATGTATCATTTATTATACAAATCAAATAAAAAAATAGTGTTTATCTATTAAAAAATAATATATTTATAATATTATAAGATAAATGAAATTTTAACGATTTTTAAAATAAAAATATACTGTATATGGATTTACTGTATATTTGTTAAAAAATTTGTAACTATTATTCAAATAACATTTTTGTGCAATAAGAATAGTAGATATATGGGTCATTATTTTTGAAGGCGACAAAAATGCTAGATGTGATTTTTTCGGACCCAACTTTTAAACAATACATATATAATATAAATTTTAGGATCACACCAAAAAATTTCCAGTCCACCTTCGAAAATAATTATCCATATTTATAATGTATTGGTTATAAAATTCCAACTCTTTAAATAAAAAATTGACACTGGTTTGCATCTGAGTTAAGATTATTACTGAACTTAACCACTTATTTCTATCCGAATCGGGTGATGGGGGACTTTTAAGTCAATAGTCATATGATTATTATTATTGATATCAAGATTTCATTAAAGTTATGCTTAAGTGCTTAAATTATCGATACAGAATATTCCAAATTTCGCACAACTCGCTCAGCACTAATATCCACAGCATAAGTAACATTCTCTTTTTTTCTGTGTCAGTTAACTGGAAATGAGGACTATTAAATTACTTGTTTTTTTTTCTACCCGTCAAATTGATATTACTCGCCCGCAGAAATGAGATGTAAGTTTGATGACGCGATTTCAAATTTTATTTACAATACATGATACACCAAATATATATATATATAGCATACTATAAACTAGCATAGATTATTTTAATAACATCTTAAGTAATAGTTGCGAAAATAATTATAGTTCTACATAAAACCTTAGAAATGTTGATAACGAATGCATATATATCATAAAAACCTTAAAAGCTTAGGATAAGAAGAAAAGGTAAAGTAAACACGATCTTATAATATTTCTTATTTCAGTAGAATACCGGGTTCCAGACGTGAATAGTTTATGGGGGACCGTAGAATTTATCTATAGTCTTGTCGCAACAAGCGCGTACAAACGGTAGTTTTCGGTATAATCGACGAATATTATTGAGGTCCACCTGAGGAATTTCTCTGGTCATCCGGTTTTTCTAAAGAATCATTAAACGATTACATGAAGTTAGGTAAGTAAATTTTTCACGAGTTTATAGTAAAATTAATAATTCTAAAGATAACACTGATGTGGTAAATACGACCCAGTATTATCTTTAGTAATATTAAGATGTTCCTATGTAGCCCCAATGCAACTATTTTTCTTAATCAATCGATATTTCGTGTACGTTAACGTCTTGGGAGAATGTGATATTCTCCTGTTCCTCAACTTTAATTTCAGCAGCTTTTACATCTTCATCGATAATTGAAGGTTCGTCTATTTCCGCCACAAGCTGCATAACTTCTCTGGTCCACTTAATCCTTTTTTTTGTTGATACCTTCTCCCACCCCTTCACCTCCTTTCCACTCGCATTCACATGAACACTGCATGCCACAACAGCTTTTCTAAATTTCATTATTAAATCTCTCCATTCTCTAATCAATTCTCGTTCAGAAAGTCTTCTTAATTTGTTCGATTTTTTTATAGATAGACGAGGATTAAACTGTTTTTGTGGTTTTTGCATATTTTTTTTATTCTCATCATTGGTGTTATCATCGGGGCTACTAGGATTCGATTTCGATGATTTTAGGTGAAGCAGAGTGAAAAGTTTGAGAAACATACGATTCAGGAGCGGTGCATCATGTTTCCGAGTAGGTTTTGGTAGGTTACGAAGGGTGTGAGAAGGTCGATCACCCATGTTTATACCTTGTCGGTCCATGTTTTCGCGTTTTCTGATCAGATAGTGTTTGTAACACAATAGAATCGCCGGCATTAGTCGCCATACCTATTTTAAAGTGGTTAGAATTGGTTATTAAATGATACCTAAACAGTCGCAAGACAGTAGTGCATAAACACTTTATATTACCGTAGCTTCTTCCGCAGTCAATTCATCAGGTTGAAAATCACGGTGAACGTAGACCCAAAGCGAATAAATTTGTTCATACTTTGAGCATAAATTAACGTATGATTCATCGGAATCAATCATCGTTTCGAGAATATCAAACTCTTTTAATATAGATTCAATCCGTTTCACTCGAATTTCCTTTCTTTCCTGCACGATAACTTCTATTTCATCAGGCATTAATCCAGTTCCTTCTTCCATTATCGTCGACGAATTAATTAGAGGTGAAAGAAGGATATATACGGGCAGGTAAGAATTATGATGGCGACAAGATGTTTTAAATTATAACACTTGACCAGTTGATGAACGGAAGAAAATGGAGTAATTTAGATCGTTTATATACTTTGCGTCTATTCATCATGACACTTTTTTGATTTGTTTTTGGTGAGGCGCGACTTTCAAAAGGATGCGTGAGATATTGGGGAATTAAAGTTTCTCAGACTGAGGGACTGGTCTTGTCTACCTTGTTTGGAATGAAAAAGGACGCAGAGAAGAAGTTGACCAGCACGTTTCGATTGGTAGACGGTTTTTTTTTAAACATAAGCTTTATTTAACATGTATAACTACCATGTAAGCGTGTGCACTTTTGCTATAAGCCTTGTCTATTTGCGATTTAATTTTATTAATTAACCGACTTACTGTATAACGGATGATTTTGCGCTAATCCATAAAGCAGCCTACTGACACGTCGCCACGCGTACGAGCAAATGATCGACGATCCGACAAATGTCCGGAACTCATCTTCCTTTCTCCCGAATTTGAATTCATATTATCTACGATGTGACCAATTTTCTTCCTACGCATCGTATCAAAATCGTTAGTCGTATGATTATCGGATTCTTCTAGATACTTTACACAAGGTGGAATAAGGCAAATATTTACAAATATGATTATAAATAGAACGCCGTTGTTTAAATATAACCTAACTGATGTGTTCGCACGTCAATTACGCAGTCATACTATCGAACCCTGGTTCAACAATGCTCAACACCCTTGTCTGCCTAACTTATTTAAATGAAAACCGCTTATAAGATCGCTCCTCTCACTGATTCTCTTTGTGAGCCAGAATTAGAATTCTAAACTTTTAAAGAATTTTATCATCTGACATAAATATGAGTTCGAAAAAAACCTAGTCAAGGAAATATGAACAAATCAATCGAATAAAGAAAAAAAAGTTGGGGAATTTTACACGTATACACTTTTTCTTCAATATTAAATTGTGATAACCTCAGATGAACAAATGATATTCTGTAACTGGATCTTTGAGATCTGATATTTTCATTTTTTCTTTATAAAGAAAATACAAAGAAATATTAAAGTGCAGAGTACGTTGAATTCTTGCTCCCAAGGAGCTTTAAATTATCAATTAAGTCATAAATAATTTGTATTCTATATCAGTCAAAGTATCAAAGTATCTTTTAAATGTCTTTGCATTTAACCAGCGTAATTTCGGTTTGGTAAAACAATAACCGAATGAGCGGTTATTCAAAAATAGGATGACCGAATTCAAGGGTATGGGTGGTGCAGTACCTGCCTGATCTGACTAATTCGGAATATCATTGCCCCGTGAGTCTTTGGCGATCGAGACTCCATTGTTAAATGCATATTATCCATGATAAGCGGGATACGCGTTTTAAAGTTTATGTTATATATCACGTGAAATTCCGAAGTTGCCGTAAAGCCTTAACTTGATCAGTAACAGCGAAAAATAAATTAAATACCAAATATGTACAAGTAGAAACATGATTATCCTCGAAGGCGAAACTGTAGATCAAGTTATGTCAATCGTGGCGCTAAAGTTACGCCAGTATTCATAGTCTTTATGAAAACCGACTAACGATAAAATTCAAAGAGATAAAAAAAAAAATAATATGCCCATATTAAAATTAGGCAATTATATTCATGTTAATTAGATTGTGTTCAATTTAAGGATTCGCTAATAAAAAAAAGTAAAAATTCTAGAAAACTTTTTGGACACGATCAATACACGTGCGCTTTAACCCGCATTAGTACAATAACAAATACGTATTTGAAATTTAAATATTATTTTAAAAAATATTGAACGTTTTAAATATAAAATTTATCTTTTCATTTCAATATTAACCATATATTTTAGGCTATTTTCACTTTATTTCAATTCAATTCGATGAACTTATTTTTTTATTAATTATATTCAATATTACGGGTTTAAATCAAGAAAAAAAATTTCTTTAATCAATGTATTAACATTTTTTCTGATATCGATATTTTTTTAATAAGTAAGCAATTTGCGTGTATCTACTGTAGTTACATTCTTCTAGCATAATAAATTTATAAAAAATTCTTTAACTAATAATTAATAAAAAAAGTTTATTCGAACCAAGTTTTATTATTACCAATTTCTTTTTAAAAATACATATATTTTATTTAATTTTTATTTATGGTATAAAAACAAAATTATGATATTTTATAATAAAAGAAATATATTAATTAATTAATTAATCAATTACAATTTAATAAACTTTTATTAAAAATTATTTTTTCCTATTTTTATATTTAAACTCAATAATAATAATGCAACAACTTAACTCTATTTACTGTAAATAACAAACAAAAATTTATTTTAAAAGGCAGCATTTTATTTTTTCAAAATTTTTATTTTTTATTAATAATAAAATATATATAATTTCTTTATAATCTTTTAATTAACTATCAACACTATAATGAGATTTTTTAAAAATTTATTATTAAATCCATTATATCAAAATTATTTTATTATAGCTGTTTTGGGATCTATTCCATTATATTGAAATTTTTATATGTTTCCACTATATCTAATTTCACTGAGTATATAAAAAAAGTTTTTTTTTTATTATGCAAAAAAAAATGATTATTTATTTTTTTATTTATATTAATTTAAATAATTAAGTATATAAAATACTTTTTAATAAATAAAAAACTATTTAAAAATTATTATAATCATCATATATTAAATTTTTATTTTATTAATAAAAACAATTTTATATATTAATTAAACTTGTTCTTTATAATAAATTTTATATACTTGTATGTTAAAATTTTTATTAAATTTAAACAAATTATTATTATTATATTAATAATTTTTTTTAAACAAAATTTTTTTAATTTTTTATCAAAATTTTAATATTTATTTGATTTTTATATTTACTATTTTATCAAGCAATTTGATATTAATAAATTTTGTTTAAAATATGTTAAAGTATTTAAATATTAAGTTTTATAAATTTTTACAGGATATTTAAAAAAAATTTTTTTTTTTTAAGTTGTAAATTGACATTAGATGCATGATATTTTTATTAATATAAGTTATCATCAGTACATCAAACGTCCCACTCCATCTATTGATGGGGGTTAACATTTTATTATCTAGTTATTGCTAACTAGTATACTTATTATGTTTATAACTTTAACATACTTGACTATACAAAATTTTAAACATTAAGTACAGTGCCCCCCAATAAATGAAGGACCACTTAAAAATTATTAAAATTAATCGGAAATAGTTTCTATATTTCAAA